ATGCAATAGTAGGGGCAAATGCACTTCCAATGGCCTCGCTAAGAGGTAAGCACCACACTTTCATCTCAATGTTAGTGAAAACAACTGCTTTTCAGACAATTTTTAAACGAATTTCTTTCCAAGAAAAATAGACAAGAGGCTGGAAATCCAGCTCCAGTTGCGCTTCAACAAAAACCACCAAGCAGCATCAATACTATCTGTGAAAAACATTTGCAGTCTGCACTCCGAGAGACAGATTTCATAACTTCATATTGGAGGCAACATGTCTTGTAAAAACATTCACTAATGTTCTCGCTGCTTTGTACTTTATGTCTGCTGCAGTCCGTCAACCCTCTATGCCACATACATGTAAACTGTTAAAACAAGAGCATCGTGAGCAAAATATCTGTTGACTGACACCATATTTCACAAATCTGATGACTTTCTGCATTGGCAGTAGCAACATTTCAGCTTCATTTCTTCATACAATATGTAGAAGAATGACGCAATGCAATAATGCCTCTGGTGTTTTTTCACTCAGCTATGCCCGAGGACCTTGAAAGCCTGCTTCTGCACTCTGGTCCTTTGATATTGCCCCATTAGCATGAAAACCCAAACTCTGGGTTGAATTCTAAACAAGGACCATCCTTGTATGTTTAAACCTAATGAGATAAATTAGGCTGTCATTTATTTTTAATCTTAAAAATCAGGTATTGGGTTTGTGTGGCAAGGTTTTGGTAGCCAGGTGGCTACCTTCGGTACACAGGTGGCTTCTGTGAGAAGCTACTAGAAGCTACCCCTACGTCCGATAGAGCCAAAGCCAGCTGGCTCCAAGACAGACCAGCCACTTGCCAAGGCCAAGCCCATCAGTGATGCTGGTAGCACCTCTGTGATAACATATTTAAGAAGCCCATGCTTGAGCAGGCTTCTGTCAGGATGTGTGACCCTGTGGAAAGAGAAGCCCACTCTGGAGCAGGTTTGCTGGCAGGACTTGTGACCCTGCAAGGGACCCATGATGGAGCAGTCTGTTCCTGAAGAAGTCTGTACCCCATTGAAGGGACCCAAGCTGGAGCAGTTCATGAAGAACTGTAGCCCATGGGAAGGGCTCGCATTGGACAAGTTCATGCGGGACTGTCTCCCATGGAAGGGACCCAACACTGGAGCAGGGGAAGAGCGTCAGGAGTCCTCCTCCTGAGGAGGAAGGAGCAGCAGAGACAACATGTGATAAACTCACCACAGCCCCCACTTCCCATCGCCCTGTACCACTAATGGGGAGGAGATAGAGAGTTCAGGAGCGAAGTTAGAATCCTAGAATAGTTTGGGTTGGAAGGGACCTTCAAAGTTCATCTAGTCCAACCCCCCTGCAATCAGCAGGGACAGCTGCAACAATAGTTTGCTCAGAGCCCCAGTCCAACTTGACCTTGAATGTTTCCAGGGATGAGGCATCTACCACCTCTCTGCACAATGAGGGTGTTTCCCTACTCTCATTGTAAAAAATTTCTTCCTTTTATCTAGTCTAAGTGTACCCTCTTTCAGTTTAAAACCATTACCCCTTGTCCTAACACAACAGGCCATGCTAAAAGTTGAGCATTTTATTCAGGCAAACACAGACAGCAGCATGTATACCTATGTTGGATTCTCTAATTCCAAAGTTGCAGAGATAAGACTAGGTCAAATAAAATGCATCTGAATTTCACAGGGATGAGAACTATGGCATAAACTAAGATAACTCTGAGATATAGCATCTTTTTTTTTTCCTGCTATAACAGAAGCCCTCTCTTAACCACCCAATCAAAGCAAACAACCCCTGAAAATGCAAAAAGCAAGTCTCCCGAAAACCCACACTTATCAAGACAAAGCACCCTAAGAAAACAAGAATAACCTCAATATGCCATGGACTTGAATCAGATGACCTCCAAAGGTGTCTTCTAACTTATTTTACCATCTTATGGAAAACAAGGATCAAATCAAAGCTGCCACACTAAAACCCGGAGAACCTGTGCCTAGTTGTTCCTCCAGCTGAAGGCAAAGAAATGTGACTGTTGCTGTAACAGCAGCACATCACCTTCACATCCACAAGTCTAACATCATTAAAGCAGGCTTTTAATACAGCAGCTAGCCTCTAACTGATTAATTCGCTTAGGTGTTTACTTCCCTAGTCTTGAAGTGCACAGAGCTTCTCAAGTGTGATGTGCAATATTATGTTCCTTTCATCTGGTCAAGAGGACTACTAGCAGTCCTGTACACGTAGGAGAACGCAATTTCCATTTTCTCCCTGTTTTGTGACCAAGTGCTTGTACAGCATTTTATGCTAAGTTAGAGGACGAGTATGCTGTGAACAAGTTCTTTCTCTAATAAGAATTCAGCTCTCTGAAAATAAACTCTATTAATTATTAATAAAGTCATGCCTGCATCTTGGTTATGAGAAAATAAACGGAAAGCAGAAAACAGAATACGAACAGAACATTCCAGCATGCCCACAATTCTATCTTCAGAAACTGAAACACCCATCCTTTTGTTATTTATGTCACTGAGACTTTTCAATTCATGCACCAAAGGGTTAAAGAACTAAATCTTCCCCAAGAGTTCAAGTCACTGCGCATAAATACTGTTGTGACTACAGATTGCAAAAGAACGGAAACACAGTAAATCATCCCATTTTTTCTGAGAAATTCTGGGACTATGTTCTGAATTTCCAGGAACAGAAGACAAACACTGCCAATTCTCACTGCTGGATTTTTATTGAAGAGTTTGAGAATTTGGAAAGGGCTCCTGAAAGCCACTAAAAGGTAGTATTGATTTTTTCCACAAAGCTAGAGATTGTTTCTAGGAGAATGCACTCAGTGTGACTGGTTTATGTGCTAACTCCTGAGAAAGTTTTTTCCTTTTTTTTTTTTTTTGAAAAAAAAAAAAGCTCTTAAACAAGACTTAAGAGCTTCTGAAAGCAGCAAACACTGCAAACAAAGAGCCCAGTAAAAAGTCATAGATCTATACCTTGCCCATCTCCCCACAAACAGAAAAAGGAAGAGTAGAGGAGAGTTGGCAACACGGCATCTTGAAGGATATTCTGTAGTACATGTTCACTTATCCAGGTTCTCATTTCTCTTGCTGTCTGCTTTCAACATAGTCCCAAACTCCAATGTGTCAATTATTCTGAACACAGAAGTCACGGCATTAAGTTCCCAACCTCGGAGACTCTGGAGGAATGTTCTCTATAGCCTTCCATTCTTATTAAGTCAGAAAATGTACTGAAAAAAAATAGAATACTTCTTCACACTCTAATCTAGAGCATATTTAGTTTAACCTTCTTTCAGCCCTTTACCAACACAATACTGGCACTGTAGCCAAATTTGAAAGACAAGGTGATGAAAGCTTCTAAGTCAGATTTAGTAGGGGTGGAAAAACAGATGTTCAGGGTTTTTTAATGCAAACTTTACTTCTGACAGAAGGCACAGTAGTTGTGAATGGGCTTCCAAAGCTAGTCTTTAAACCAGTTACAAGCACTTAGGGTAGTTACCACACAGTAAGCTATGACCAAAAATAATTAATTAACAGGGAGTCACTTTCCCACTGTCTTAAGTCATTCATGTTGCCTTGACACTTCTAGTGCCACTTTAGTGACACTAAAGCAGATTAACTACAGGATTTGTAAGAGTGAAGGGAAGTACCAAGAAAAATTCACAGTCTTACTGCTTATGAACCACTAAAGACACTATTTTCATGAGAGAGTTTGACATCCAGTGAAGAATTTGCAGCTCAAAAATGACTGCCTACAATGTCAAGTTTCTCTTACACAGCTCTCCTCTCCCTCAGCTTCGCACCATGACTCAGATGATGCTCTAAATGAATTGGAAGCATAATTTCACAGTGCATCAAAATTATGAAGTCCAGGCACATCTATTCACATATTCTTTTAAAATCATAGATCCAAGCACAGCAACAGATTTTCAGGACAACCGATTTCTCAAAGTGCATTCTATTTTTATAGCTGCAAAAGCAGTTGGAAAGGAACTGTTATGTTTTTCCTGTTATCAGGAAAAGCATTCACGTACATTCAACTGAAAACTCAGCATATACTAACTTTAGTCTTTTAACTAATTTGAAGTTTCCTGCTGGGGAAAAAAAAAAGTGTAAATTGGCATATTACAAAACAGGTCTATAAATCCTATAGAGGCTTGTTGGGGATTTTTGTTGTTGTTGGGTTTGTTTGTTTGTATTTCTTTCAAATGAGTAGCACAACTGTAGTAATCGCTACTAGTAATGTTTCTCTTGGGAGAAAGAGAAAAAGGTTTCAATGTCATATGATACTCTGTTTAATCATTTGTGTATCTGCAGGGCCCAAAATCATAACTGAATCATTACAGTGGTAAGCAGACTATGAAAACAAAAAGAAAAAAGGGCAAAAATCAGGTCATGCCCAAAATAACAAATTTGCAGTTCCATGAAAAATACAAAGCAAGCATTATGCCAACCACAAATGCCTAGAGGGAAAGAAGAAAAAAAAAAAAGAGAATGTCTAAGTTCATTTTTGCCTAGCACCTTTGAATTGAGCTGAGGGTGGGGTTTTTTGATATATTCTTTGTAATATGCCATATTGGCTGCTTAGATACAGCATAATGACTCACGAAACATAGGATCTAACCCAGTGTAAAATCTCTGCCTTTGTCCCTACAAACACAGCATTCAGCAAGCATTGATACTATTTGGTCCAAGGCATTTCACAGGTACAGTAGCTTGCCGTTTATTTTGGATACAAGTGCCTTCTCCCAAATATGAACTGGCTACTTTGAGGAGAGGTATCAAATCTTAATCAATATACATTAGTGATCCAATTTTTTTCAGAAGCAGGTCTTGGAATACAGGATGGTAACAGAGGCTATGTTCCCAAACATTAGCAAAAACCCAGAGAATTGCCAGACAGCCATTAGCAGTTTGATGAAGAGTTTGAATGCACAATCAATCACTGGCACACAGCAATATGATGCTACAAGCTTGACAGAACATGCAGTTTCATAACTTACTATCCGATAAGGAAGATGTAAAAAGGAGTCTGGGCAGCCAGCTAAAGCCATTTGTTCCTTCAAATTTTCTTCAAATTACATCTACTGCTTCACAGGACCTGCAGAGTACAAACAAACTGTCAGAAACCATACTGAAGACATTTCATCAACTTATTATTGAAAACAGTTGGAGGGGGAAGACCGAGAAGAGCAAGATGAGGTGACGAGGATTTGCATCAACTTGGAGTAGCAAATCTGCACATTTGCCGTCTGTAGCCTAGAAAACACATTCAACCCGATATTTCATTCAAAAGGCCAGCACAACTATTGTCAGGCTGGGTGGCTCCTCCATTATTTCCCCAGTCCAGGCAAAGCCTCTCTTCACACCTAGACCCTAATCATTTGAAGGCTGGCTCTCACCAGCTGAGGCTTGTATCAGAAAGTGTGGCCAGCGGGTCTAGAGAAGTGATTGTCCCCCTGTACTCAGCACTGCTTAGGCTACATCTTGAATATTGTGTTCAGTTTTAGGCCTCTCACTACAAGATAGATATTGGGGTGCTGGAGTGTGTTCAGAGAAGGGCAACGAAGCTGGTGAGGGATCTAAGGCACAAGTCTTGTGAGGAGAGGCTGAGGGAAGTGTGGTTGTTTAACTTGGAGAAAAGGAGGCTGAGGGAAGACCTTGTAGCCCTCTACAACAACCTGAAAGGAGGTTGTAGTGAGTTGGGTGTTGGTCTTCTCTCCAAAGTAACAGATGATAGGACAATAGGAAATGGCCTCAAGTTGTGCCAGGGGCGGTTTATATTGGGTACTAGGAAAAATTTCTTCACTGAAAGGGTCATCAAGCCCTAAAAAAGGCTGCTCAGGGAAGTTGTGGACTCACCACCCCTGGAGGTACTTAAAAGACCTGTAAATGTGGTGCTTAGGGACATGGTTAAATCAGATCCAGATTAGATCTCAGGAAGAAATTTTTTACTATGAGGGTGGTGAGACACTGGAACAGGTTGCCCAGGAAAGCTGTGGATGCCCCATCCCTGGAAGTGTTCAAGGCCAGGCTGGATGTGGCCTTGAGCAACCTGCTGTAGTGGGAGGTGTCCCTGCCCATGGCAGGGGGGTTGGAACTCGATGATCTTTGAGGTCCCTTCCAACCCAAACCATTCTATGATTCTGTGATTCTATGGTCTAGTGATGGACTTTGCAGTGTTAGGTTAATGGTTGGACTTGATTATCGTAAAGGTCTTTCCCAACCAAAACTATTCTATGATTCTAAGAAAACACTGAAATTTGGGAGCTAATTCAGATAACAGTTACTTAACATGGAATCATTTAGGTTGGAAAAGACTGGTAAGATCATCAGGGTCATTATGCATCATTAGCCTTCAACACCTAGTTACACAACCCTTTCTTCCCTTTACCCCTTCCCCGCCTTCCTTTTATGTCATGGCTTTATTCTCATGCAATATATCAAATAGGGTGTCCCACACAAATCTGCATTCAAGTCTTGTATTTCCTCTTGTGAGTGATTATTAGCAGCAACTTTGCACGGTGAAAGAAATCTACTGCAAACATATTTTGAGGTGCATATGGTTAAAAGAACTACAAATGTAAGACAGAAAGCAGTATTAAGGCAGCATCAAGAAAGTGATTTTAACTGCTCCTTTGTAACAAAGGAAACAACACTAAACAGAAGCATATAAACACATAAAGCACTATTCGCTGGTCCCAGCATTTCTCCCGACCAGGGACATTGATCTGGAAACATCCCTGCAGTATAAGACAAGTGATACCACCTGCAAGCAGATGAAAAAAGGGTAAGTGGGGGAGAGAGAGCAGACTGCAAAGCAGAGCCAGAACTTTTACTCCTGCCACAAGCAAGCTTCTGTCTTGTTCACTATTAATTATCAATTATATATTCAAAATAAAAGTCTGAATTTTGAACAGGCTACCCGCTGCTCTCTAGTAGACATCAACTGTCACCAAACCAAAGCTCCCAGTAAGATTTATGTCAGTTAATTCAGGGACAAGGGTAAAAGATATCTTGGGAAGACTGCTCCTGGAAGAGCTGTAGCCCACAGCCCACGTAAAACACGCACTCATCGAGGAAACTTTACTGTTGGACCGAGTCCAGAGAGGGCCACGAAGGTGGTCAGAGGGCTGGAGCATCTCTCCTATGAAGACAGGCTGAGAGTTGGGGTTGTTCAGCCTGGAGAAGAGAAGGCTCTGGGGAGACCTTATAGCAGCCTTCCAGTACCTGAAAGAAGCCTACAGGAGAGATGGGGATGGACTCTTTATGAAAGAGGGTAGCAACAGGATGAGGGGTAATGGTCTTAAACTGAAAGAGGAGAGATTTAGATTAGATATTAAGAGGAAATTATTTACTGTGAGGTCCCATCCCTGGAGGTGGCCCAGGCTAGATGGGGCTTCAAGCAACCTGGTCTAGTGGAAGGTGTCCCTGCCCATGGCAGGGGGTTAGAACTAGATGACCTTTAAGGTGCCTTCCAACCCAAACCATTCTATGATTCTATGATTTTATCTAGTTACAGGATTAGATTTGCAGAGACATGATAGCCACCTCCTGTATTAGAAAGGCAAGCAAACTTCTAGGAGCTTCTTCCCAGAAAGGAGTTACTGGGCTTCTGCAGTCTTCCTGACATACTAACTTTTCTGGGCTTGATCCATATAGCCAGTTACCTCTGAAGGAAATGGCTTTTGGCAACAGCCAGTCTGAAAATCTATTTAAACCAATATTCATAAATCAAGTTGTTTATTCTACATATTTTTCCATAGCATTTACTTAAGTTAAAAACCAAAATCTTATAGGATTCACGTGGGGGGGAGGACAAGAATAAAAAGACCACCTCAAACATCTAATTCTGTAGGCATGATATCCAACTTGTGCTCTTGCTAGTCTTTAAACATATAAAAAGTGGCCTACAGCCATCTACCTCCCAACTCCACACGTGAAAGTAGTTTGCAGTCAGTTTTTAAGAGGGATCTGAAGATTTAATTTTCAGGGCAAGATTTCCCTCATTCGCCCAGTTTGTTCTGGGAGAATTAAGCACAGATTTATGGAAATCCCCTTCATCTTGGCTGATGTATTGGAGGGTGAAGGGTAGGGGCTGGAAGCAGCTTTTCACTTTGGAAAACACAGTTTTCTGTGAGTACATCTAAAGTAAAATTAGGCAAGCCACTGGAGTAATGTTCTGAAGTTGGTACAATGCATCAAGAACAAGAAGAACCTTATTATTAGCCTGTAAACCCACAAATTAAAGAAAGTTTAGGTAAAGGGATAAGGGAAAAGAAATCAGCCTTGCATTGCAACAGCTTTATGTTTATTATCCCTTAAGTATTTAGAGAACAGGAAAAGGCATGACTGCTGTAAATGTAACTGTAGGTTATTTAGGACTGAATATTAAAATACTTGTCTTTCTCTCAATGTTTCAGCAAAATACACTATTCACTTATAGCAAGATAGATTAAATATGTTCCTAAACAATACCAAACCAATTTGTCTACTCTAGGGCGTGCTGCAGTTTATGCCACAGCCCCATTACACCAATGGAAGATCATCAATTACCTCAAACAATAGTTGGAGTCAAGACTGCATAATTTATCAAGACCCATTTGCTTCACAGCTACATTCTTGAGTATTCATTTGTTAACACCGCAGAAACAGAGGAAAGCAATAATCTCTAGATGATATCATTCCTAGTCAGTCATACATTAACACTGATTTAAGATCGCATCTCTTTTGTCTGTCTAAAAGCAGTTTATCAAAGTAGTCTTACCCTAGGAACACAAAAAGCCTTTGCTCACCTTTAAGATCTAAGGCCCTGTTGTACCACATCATCGAGTAATAAATTTTATAGGAAGGGAACTCTATACCAATTCATGTGTTCAGCAGAGAAAAATTACAATTTATGCTATTGTCCTTAAACATGATTTTTAGTATATCAGTTCTCTTCAGAGACCATAACTGCACACAGACTTACACGTTCCTTCCATGGAAGTTAACCAGCACAAATTGCATAGAGATATTTAAGTGCCAAGTTACTGCCCTTTTCCTAAAACGCCTTAGATGGGGGAGGGAAGCTCCAAAGGATTGTAAATAGGAAACAAGCTCTGTAGTCAATCACTGTTATAAAACCCAAGACATTCAGTGGTGAGAACAACTGTTGTGCAGCATCGAGCCAGCCAGCCTGTGCACACTAAAAACTAAGCAACTCCACGTGCTTCCATTGACTTAAGAGGTCTTCCTTGGACAGAGTCCCTGAAAGAAGGACAGTCAGGATAAACTGAGTTTCAAAGGTCATAAGATTCAGGTTCGGTTCTCCGGCCTAAAGCATGCTCTATTGGGAGACATGGCTTTGACATCTCAGTGTCTCAAAGTTGTTAAACCAACTCCCACCATCTAAACAAAGATTGATATTCATCCCAGGTGGAAAACACTGCGGGTACGCAGCCTGGAGATTACCGGTGCCCTGAATGAGTTGTTTCTAGTCACAATCAAATTGCCCACCTAACCAGTAGGTTAAGTTATCTAGTAATGGCAAATGAAGCCTGTCACCAGGTAGGCTTTTGATTAATCACTTTCTGCATATTCCCAGCAGAGGAAGCGGTATCTCACCCAGCACGCTGGAAGCGCAGGCAGCCTACGCACCTACAGATCCTGCAGTGGGAAGATGGCAGGGGTATGGTCACTCTGCCAATTCAGGAAGTTTTCCAGGTTCTACATGTGCCATCTGTCAAAGTCTTAAAATTCAAGAGAAAAATAATTTTACAACGCAATCACTTGCAGATTAGTTAGGAACAGGAGGAGGAAAAAAAAAAAGAGAAAATATTTTAACCTGGCAGAGCTGCAAGACAAGCTCTGGAGCTCTTGAACACTGGAGTTATGCTCTTTCATTAAAGGTAACTTAACAAATTTCTTGAATGCTATTCCCTTTCAAGTCCTGAGGATTTCATTATTTTTCTTCTGTAATGTTCTGTTTTCTGTAACTGAACTACTATGGAAAAAGGAGGGGGAAAAAAGCTTCAATATAGTCTTAAATTTTGATCTACCTGAATACCTTTCTCCAAGACCTCAGGTTTAATGTCCATGTCTTTTACATAGTTTTTACTCTCTC